AATTCTTCATCCTCTGACTTCCATCTGCAATCTGTCATTTCAGTCGGGTACATTTCCAGAAAATATGAAAAGTTATTCCACTTTATAAATCTAGGAACAGACACTATTTCACAAATTGTAGGCCTGTTTCTCTACTTTCAAAAATTTGGGATAAATCATTTGTTGATAGATTAGATACATTCATTAATGTATTAATTAATAAATTGCTTTCCGGAAGTCAGTATGGATTTAGATCACAAAGATCTACGGCAATGGCCGCCATTGAAGAAGTCACCAGCACCTTAGATAATAAGAAATCTGCAGTTTGTGTATTTATTAATCTCAAAAAGGCTTTGGACACAATATATAACAAAAAATATTAATTAATAAATTAGAGCGTTATGTCATCCGGGGTGTAGTACTACTCTGGATGGAAAGTTATGTAAGAAACAGAAAACAATTTGTGCAAATGGCTGACTGCCAGTCATCGTGCTTGGACATTGTGGTGGCCCCCAGGGGTCAGCATTGGGGCCAAAATTATTTATCTTATTATTTATTTATTTTATATTTTTGACATCTGCAAAGTTTCTAGAATACTTAAATTTGTTTTGTTTGCAGACGATACTAACATCTTTTTTACAGGTGATCATTTGGATCATTTTTATGGCAGTTATGTCAACTCAAGATATGGTTTGATATTAACAACCCACCATTAAATCTGAATAAAACCAAGTTAATGTTGTTTGGAAACAGCAAAAGTGAAACAACTTTACATATCCTGATACATAATGTGACAGTAGAGAAGGTTAAGGAAATTAAGTTCTTGGGATTAATGATACACACTAAGATTTTCTGGAGACCTCATATAAAAACATTCAAACAAAAATATCCAGAAGTATAATATTTGTATTAAGATGAAAAGCTTAGTCTTTATCTCCAAATTGTAGTGTCTTGTGCGAAAAAACACATCAGGACGCTCAGTGAATTTCCCTAATAAAGTTCAAAAACATGAAGTAACATGATCCATAAACTGCTGCCATCCCTCTGTAGTCTAGTTCAAAACAAAAGGGGAACTACAGAACTAATTATTTTACAATAGGTATATATACATATTAGGCTGAGGATATTTTGATTTCCATAAAGCGGACACTTTGCCCAGCCTCCAGATGGATTCAGACAGGCAAAGGTTAATGAACAGCTTTATTATACCTGAATGGTACAAAAATAACCTTTGTAGTAAAACAAAACAACCAGTAACAATATTATAGCTCTCTATTAAAACACATAAATAGATCAATATTGTTCTAAATTACGTTTTCTGTATTTTCAAACAGCTTCAACAAATGTTTCCAGTTCTAACAAAGTACTCAGTCAACTTTGCAGAATGACTCTCACCCCTCAGAGCTTTTTCAGCGTCCATGTGAGCTTTGAGATCTCCAGCACCTTTATTAAACACTGAAACTAATGAGCCAGCTTTGCTCACGGTGCACTCAGCCTCCCATTTGACTTGAAATGTTTTCTGGAGTTCATCTGTGAAGCTGCACTTTCTTTACAACATTTTGTAACAATTCTTAATGAATAAAAACACTGGATTTGGGTCCCTTCAGGCTGCATTGTGAACACAGCCATAGTTAGATCCTTCATTCCTCTAGTTGCTTGGTTGTAGCGGCTCTGGACTCACACAGTTATAGCAACTGAAACACTTGTTTGATCAGGAGCCAAACCAACTGGGCCAGAATTCGTGCCTACATTATTTCCTGATCTAAGTTCTCCAACAAGCAAAGGAGGATTTATCCAATGGCCAGATTT